GAATATTATTTATGATTTTAACTTTATACACAAGTGCCAAAATACTATAATTATTTATAGCTCTATTTGAGTTTGATTTGAAGAATACAAGTTTCATTTCTTCTTCTTTTTTAGTTTTTGAAAAATCCTCCTGAACACTTTAATTAATATTTTTCAAGTTTATCAGATTTTCACGTATAATGAAAACACAGTCCTAGGCAATCCACCAGCTATAATATTTCATCTTGACAGGAAAGACTATTAATACGATCCAAATCCTAACGAAGTGACAAGGATTTAGATGAAGTTCCTTAACGGAGCAGCAGTATTGGCGTGTATCTTTGTGAGCTTCGTGCCTTTACCCACCATTCCATATGTTGATATCATCCTATTAGCCTCCTCTTAGCCTCAGAAGGCACTGTACACGAAGTATACACTAGATCACTGATGTTCTGCTACAATTTGATTATTTTTTTTTCAAAAGAAGTGTTCAAAACGCATTTTGAAATTAACCTCTGTCTAATCACACTTCCTTTGAACCAGTTAGCACAGCAAGAATAGATGAAATTAAAGCGAAAGATAATACCAAATCATTTAGATGCATGACATTAGCAAAGGATGTGTATACGGGGCAGTATGGACATTGGTACGATCCACAAACGTCACAGATGTTCAATAAGTATAAGTTGGATGCATCAAAGATTGTCTGATTGTATCGTTCTGAAACAAATTAAATTACAATTAAACATAGTAAAAATAAAATAGCTAGATCCCGAGATTTTTACAATTTACTTTTCGACCTATTTTATAATAGATTTAGAATTATTTTACTATATTTACTGATTTTCAATTAATTTTATTAGTGTATATTTTTGTACTCTCCTTATATATCTATCAATTATACAACTAACAAATTCAAAAAGTGTATTTATTTGTTATAGATAATATAAGTGTATACATTTTAGGACATTTCATACTTTAACTGACTAATTATTTAATAGCTTAATAAAACTTTCTTCAAGAAAAAATAAACCATAAAAATACCAAGCGATTATTTCAGGAGAAATACTTGTAATTTAATTGCCAATATACTTTATTAAAGAAAACATACAAAACTCATTTTAAGCATATTAATTTTCCTGCTTAGTTAAGTCAATTACAAGAGGAGCCAGATTAAAGTTAAGGTATTTCCCGTTTACGTAATATGTTTAATAAAAATAATGACATGTTTGTACACAGAGTTACAGGCTTTGCTAAATAATTATTAAATATTATAGTATATTCTGAAATAAAAGAACATTAGAACATTTCTAGCATATAGCAACCAGAAGTCTTTGATAGTTGATCTTGGAATGATCTAAAAAAATAAGATTTAAATGGAGGCAGTACAACTCACACAGTATATGTTTAAGTGCAGTTATTCCTATGGAATTACAATAATGTTTGAATATTCCTGTGATTTCCATATGTCTTATTAAATGTGGTTTTACTAAAGATATTTCGTTTACTATATTTTCCCTCTCTTTCAAATAAATTCGATCTTACCAGTATCTTAAAATATCCAATTACTGATTGTAAAAAAAGTCATTATATATATATATATATATATGTACAGTACATAATATACATATATATAATAAAACTAAAACAAAACATTAAAATTATTTGTATTATTTGTAATGGTTATTACTATTAACCAGAATAGACTATATAATAAACACTAAAATAACATTTTATATAAATAAACTTTCGTATGTTACTAAATTATATTTTGTTATACATACAGACGAGGGATGTTTAGAGAGAAAATCAGCTTAAAATCAACAAATGTAGACTAGACATCACTTTTCAACATAGTCCCCCTATGCACGATGAATTTCTTCCATTGCTACGTGAGATTCATAACAGTTCAGTAAAATGCAGGTCTGGTACTAATGAACATATTTGCAAACAGCTGCTTTAATGACTTTAGCTATACGAAAGCGTTGCTTACTCTAAGTTTCTTAACGAGGGCCGTGAAAATGAAAGTCACAGGCTACAAAATGTGTGGAATGGAGAATATTGTTCACCAGAACCTCTGAGTTGTAGTTGTTGAATAACAAATAATCTGAGGATTGGCGTTATCATCTGAAAAATAACTTATTTTTCTAGCAGACAGAGATTGACATATTAACGAGATCCGTCACAATATATACATACTCACATTCTGTGTATGGGGAAAAAAATACAACTTCTTTCTCAATACCTCTCATAGGTAATCCTGTTATGTAACAATGAAATATTACCCATGTAATATATACTCTCACGAAACTGCAGTGTGAACCACATGGGTGTAACAGAAAGGATGATTACCTGGTGCGTAATAATCATATATCTTAACCTCCAAGTGTCTCGACATGTTCGCTACTGGATACCACCGTTGTACGGTAAATGAAACACATGTTTCATAGGCATGCAACTATGGAAGAAAGAAGAGAAAACGCTTAACGTATTCTTTATTCCAATACACGCAGAGACAATCCATAAGCATAGAAGACAGCTCGAATCCATTTTAGAAACTAAAATTAAATATTTGAAAAACAAAAGCTGTGAAACGTTTAAAGCGTTGAACATTCATTGGTATAGTTTATACATTATTGAAACTGGTAACGTTTCACTTAAATAATATATTCATTAGAATTATATATCATGTAGTAATTTCCAGTTTAATAATAAAATGTTTAACCATTTAACAAAAATTATTATATTATCGAGTATGAAGATGCAAGGGTAATTATTGTTAAACCGTTAATTAATTTTTTTAGGTACTTAACGTATATATAATTCAATAGAATTATATAGTAATTTCCAGTTTAATAATAAAATGTTTACCCATTTAACAAAAATTATTGTATTATCGAGTATAAAGATGCAAGGGTAATTATTGTTAAACCGTTAATTAATTTTTTTAGGTACTTAACATATATAGTTCGTTTTCTAATCAGTCAGATTTTGTTTTATAAGTGCTAGAATGTTATTTTTCATCTTGAATATGATTTGTTTTAAATAAATCTCTCTGGCTTTTTAGTTATAATAATTATAAAGGTTTTTTTTCCTCATGGATATCGTATCGTCAGTTGATACGATCTCATTTACTTTATATAAATTAAACTGCAACTTACGTAATCAAAGTAGAAAGTAACTTTTCTATCTCTATATCTTGCTTGTCGCAAGTTCTTAACTTGACCAGTCTGAACATAATAATTTAGTTCTCGCTGCTGTATCTTGTATCCAGTCGGAATGTCTATTTCTAACACCGCTAGACCACTGGCAAGGCTCTCATCTTGGTTAGTCCAGCTGAGAGATAAGACAAACCATAACAATCTGTATTTTAGCTTAGTGACAAAAGAGGAGAACGAGATAGACAGAACGCTTACAAAATTGATAGTTAAAGTATTCTTCTAAAATATTAAAAATAATCAAACAAAAGAAAAACATCACTGTCTATAGGTATGAATAAGAGGCAATGGTTACATGATAATAAATGTGTCGAATGTTAACAAATATTAAACTTTTTTATAAATATTATAAAACTAAACTGATATGTTAACACATCTCTGTCTTACATAATGAAATGACTCTTGCTTAAGATTATGGTTTGATTTCCCTATAAACTGTTCTTCTTCTCACAGAAATCTACTTCTAAATTATTCGTTTCTGTTTTGTTAATTTGTTCTGTATCTTGTAAATAAATATAATAAAAGTCAATGAAACTACAGACTCACCTCTGGCAGGACTGGAATGTTATATGCGAGTTGTTTCGGCCAAAAAAATGACCACGTACCCACAGAGAAAAGGCTTTCACTGGTGGTGGGGTCAGCAGCTGAGGCTTATCTACACTGTACTCACCAGATAACTGAACAGTAGCTAGCCCAGTTCCTTGAGCTTTCACTATCACAGCTCCCCACGCTTGTGGTATCTTAAATGTGCATTAGAAATAACATTTGTTATTTGTAGGAATTCAATAGAAATTTATTGCTTAATTTTTTCATCACAATTTAAAATATGTAATTATTTATAATAAATTATTGTTAGTTTAGGTGTGTGTATTGTTTACTAAATTGGTCATCACCAAATTAATCTTAAATATTTTATTGTTTCAACTTAACTGGAATACATACATATATAAGTATGATATATATCCGGTTTGTTACAGCTCATCTGGTATCATCAGCTAAGTCTAGAGTATCTTTAAACATTATGGAATTTGTGTATTTCAATTACTTAGCATCTACCGGATCATTTTAGGAGTGCTAAGCTATATAAAGTTTTGTCAGTTTTGTTTACAATTTCGGCATATTTATATTATTTTCTTATCCTAATGAACAGAGGCGTCTCTGGGTATTTAAAAGATACAGGGGTCGGGCCCACAGGCGCGGGAATTTTCTGAGTTTCAGCATGATATCGATCATGTTTTTTCTATTCTGATTTTTCAGTCGATCAACTTGGGGTTCCGGGCACGAGCCCCATCTGCCAGCGCTTAGCGACGCCTCTGCTAATGAACTAAAATTGTTATTTTTCATATCTACTTTGTTAGTAATGTATATAGTGTACCATACTCTAATCTAATATACACGTAAATTCTGATAAAGCAAGTTAAAAATGATTCAGAAGTGTAAATTTTATATTGAAAAGGGAAATTAAATTGAAGCCATTTGATAAAATGTTTCAGCTAGTAGCTACACAATGCGTTATTTGTGCTCCGTCTACCGCTAAGAATCGAGCCCCGGATTTTAACGTTGTAAGTCCGTAAACTTACCGCTGACCCACTGGGTGCCTTCTTTTAATAAAGCAAGTTACATAAAGTTTTATTATTAATTATTGAAGTCCTTTATTGATCTTTATTGTTTATTAGTATTTTAGTAATCGCAAGTTTTTGCTAGTTTTTTATGGTCTTTAAGTACAAACCGTGAAAATGTAATCTAATTAAAGTGGTAAAAATTTTTAAGTAAATAAGTAATACAGTAAATACTGCACTTATACATCTAGGTAACTCAAGTTACTGTAGAAAGTAACATTAACATAATTATCACCAATGTTTATCTCACATATATGGCTCCTGAGACCTTTTCCTGAGTTATATTTTCATGAATTGTTATGAATAATATTTATTCCTCACTATCTATCTGTTTTTTTTCTCTCTCTCTCTTTTGAGTCAACTCTGCAAACATAATGAGAACTTGAAGTAAAGCGGAACAATTGAAATGCATTAAATAATCAAAACTGGTTCCACTAAGGAACGTTACGCTTAAATACAAAAATCACTACTATCCCTACCAATAACCCAATACGGTTGTGAGGGTTGTATCAGAAAAATGAACAAACATGATATTATGATAGTACAAATATTACCAATGCCATCTATTTGAAAATCAAGGACCACGTGCTAACAAGTAATGAACATAAACTGTTTAGAATGTTCTTACCAGAAAAACAGTTATCAAGAAACAAATGTTAACACGTGTTCTCAAGTATGACCTTCAACTCTCCCCAATGTAAGAAAATATTTAATCACGATTCTGTTTGTCATAGTACAAAGTACCTGTTTAAGTATAATACTTTCTATTGTTTCCTCTGTTGATCCCAAGTTAAGCTGACAAAGCATTGTGTATATAATCTATAATCTCCCACAGTGTTTATATCACACGATTATTGGATAGGATTAATTTAAAGTTTGTTTGATATTTCTTACTAAAGCTATTCCATTATTAACTGGTTTTTATGACTATTGGTTAATAAAATTTGTAATTAAACTTATAGTTTCAGCAGAACTGATTACGATTCTTCTCTTATTTTGTTCCGTTTTAAATAGAATTAGATGCGATTTATCTCAAAAGAACCATGTAGCAGAAGGTATTAATTATTTTTACCTATCAATGCTGCTGTTCTCTTTTTGTCAAAATCAATATTATTATCTTAATTTCAACTTATGAAACTTGAAAACTTTGAAGCTCTCTATCATTACTTTTAACATTTGCAAATACAAAAACTGTAACGTTTTTATCAATTATATTTATCAAAATACCATCTTCCACTTTCAATTATATTTGTAGTGATTTTTTCTCTATTCCATATTTTCAGTTTCCTGCAAAAAGGTGAAGAACACAATATTATACTTGTTTTGTTCATGTGACTTAAAATAGCAAGTTTAAATACGATCACCTAAAACTCCCTTCTACTAATACTTCTTATGTCTTAAAATATACATTTTCGGTTTTTTTATTATATTTTCCATAATTTAGACACTGTTTGATTTTGAACTATATATATATATAGAACTACAAACGTAAGTGTAAATCTTACGTTTCTTATATGGTGATAGAAGATTTTTTCACATTAAGAAAACAATTATTGCTAAACCATTATTGGTTATTTAGATTACGAGAGTACATGTATTTTAAAAGTTAAAAATCATACCTTCGTTATTTGACTAATCTAAAAAATTTATCTTAGGTCGACATATATTGGTGATGGTGCTAACTTAAGAATATTTTAATAAAACCTGCCTCTATAGTTTGAAGTTGTGAAAGATTATCATCTCCAACGTGGAGCTGCCACACAGAGCCAGGGGTGGACAAGGACTCAACAGTGAGAGTGATATCAGTGGGGTCCTTCTGTCCTGAGTGTACAGTGTACTCGGTTAACGACTGGAAGGCGATTAAAGTATCCTGAACAGAAAATTTAGAATAAGCCATACAGTTCCAATAACACTCCTCAAAACTATGTAGTTTTATTCATCAAGCGGAGAAAAATACTTCTGTCTGCGTTGTTTTAATCCTAGAATTACAAATGGGATCCATATGTTCCCCATTTATATGCGCCCGATCAGGTTTTTCGACCCATTTTTTTTCTAAATTATCTATGAACCAGGTTGTTTATGAGCCCATGACTATTGGTTAAAAAATCCCAATTAACGTATGAGCCACATACACACACGTGTAAACAAACATATCGTCTATATTACGTTTGTTTGTTTGTTTTAGTGCAAAGCCACATTGCTGTGTCCACCGCGAGGAATCGAACTCTAAACTTTAGCGTTGTAAGTCCGTAAACTTACCGCGGTACCACCGGGGGACATATTGCCAATAACCCCATAAAATTACTGCTGGGATTTTCTACGTATTGTACATAGAAAATTAGTGAATCAACTTAATGCAGTATGTGCATTCCAGTGACGGTAAACGGTGTGCAAATAAATCAGTAATTTAAGATTAATTATGTAACTTTTACGTTAGGGAAGGTTCTAAGTTAATTGTTCGTTTGTTTTAGCACAAAGCTACACAATAGGCTAGCAACGCTCTGTCCATCACGAGAAATCGAATCCAAAATTTTAGTGTTGCACATCCGTAAATTTACCGCTGACCCACTCGGAGACGCTTCTTTCTAAGTTAAAACGAAAGTCTTCAACCACAGTTTGTTTTTCAGACTACTCGTATTAAAAAATATATACAATAAGTAAGCAAGGTATACTGAGCTTCTGACAAGAGAGTTTCATGCGTTTAATCTTTAAAAAATAAATCATTTTAGTTAACTCTTATTCATTTATCCTGTAGAGTTTTGTTCCTGACCTAAATAAGTAAACATTACTAGAATTCATTATGCAGCTAGAATGCTTGATATAAAAATAGCCAGCACACACGAAAAAGAAATTACACATTAAAACACGTTCATTAAATATACACCTGGAAAAAGTTAAGCACCCCCGTGTTTTTTTCAAGTGATTCAGATTCGACGTTCTTGTGACTGATTA